AAGCAGGGGGAGTGGGAGAAGGAGAAGCAGGCCTCCCACCGAGTAGGGAGCCCGATGTGGGGCTCAAACCCAGGACCCTGAGATCATGACCCGAGCCAAAGGCAGACGCCCAACGACTGAGCCAGCCAGGCACTCCCATAAATTTTCTTTTTAAACAACACCTGCCTCTGAAACTGTCTTTGAAGAACTTTTTTTGTTTTCAGACAACCAGTTTAATTCTTTAATGATTAAAATACCATTCAGCTTCTATGTCTTGTTCCAGTTAAATTCGATAGTTACTATTTTTAAAAAGTTACTCATTTTACCTAAGTTTTCAAATTTGCTGTCTTAAAGTGGCTTATAATAACCCTTCATCACCTGTTAAACCGTAATCCCCACTGAATGTAGTCTATTTCATTTCTCATGTGTTTTTCTCTCTTTCTGGATTTATCCTCCTTTGTAGATATGAGAGTCTTTTCAAAGGACCAAATTTGGCTTTATGAATCCTTTCTATTGTAACTTTGTTTCCTATTTCTGCTGAGATCTATCTACATTCCATATCTGTATCCCCATGTATCTGTATCCATTCCTCTGTTTTTTCCACTCTTTTTTGTTTTCACTGGACATATTTCATTGTTTTTTTTCTAACTTCTTGAATTGATGCCTAGTGATTTAATTTTTGGTCACTTTTTTAAGACGAGAAAAAACTTGAAGTGTTTATGTCTTGTGATCTTGGGCTTTTTACCTTTGTTCATATTCATCTTCCCTTTTTTAAAAAATATTTTATTTATTTATTTGACAGACAGAGATCACAAGTAGGCAGAGAGGCAGGCAGGGAGAGAGAGAGGAGGAAGCAGGCTCCCTGCTGACCAGAGAGCCCGATGCGGGGCTCGATCCCAGGACCCTAGGATCATGACCTGAGCCGAAAGCAGAGGCTTTAACCCACTGAGCCACCCAGGAGCCCCTTCATCTTCCCTTTTTATAATTCTTTGTTGTCAGGATTAAGTAAGGCAAAGGTGAGTATTCTCACATAGTAGGAGCAGAGTAAATGGTTGTTACATGTTTTGAATTTGGCATATTTACTGAAGTGATTTCTTCCCACCCTAGTGCACACGCCTATGCTTTGGGCATCCTGCCCTCCGCATCTCTGTCAGTGTGCAAACAGCTGTAATCGCTGTAATCAGTAGCATCAACAGCCTCTGGAGTCTAATATTTTCCTCCTCTGCTCATGGTCCTGAGCTGGACTTCCTTGGCATAGTAATTTTATTTTCTTTCCTCGTGTGCCATTGAGAACATAGCCATGGTTTGTTCTCAGAGTTCTTAGTCTGACCTGCAGTGGTGCCATCCCACCGAGGAATGCTAATTTTCTCCTACACTCGGTCACAGTTGTGCTCAGTGCCCACTGCTGAATCACTTGTTTCTTCTCACTGGATTGGTATGGTATCTTGCCTTTGTTGCTGGGCCTTTTCTTATTCCTGAAACAGCTCTATAATCTTTCATTAGCCACTTTTTCTCTTTTATTGCCATTCCAACTTTGGTCACTTATATCCCGTCAAGCTGGGGTCAGCAAGGATTTTCTGTAAAGGTTCAGATGATAAATATTTTACGCTTTGCAGACCAAATGTGGTCTCTGTCACATTCTCAATCCCCACACGCCTGCTGAAGTGTAAAAGCCATTTCTGACTTTAGTAAATACAAATTGCTAATTTTTTTTCTGGTGCCTTAATTTTTAAATTGTGAAATAGAATATATATTTTAAAATGCATGAAAACTTACACACTTGGTTTGATGCACAAAAATGAAATAAAGTTTTGTGAATCCTACCTCCCAAATCAGAAATAGAATATTATCAGTACTTCAGAGCTGCCCTTTGATGTTCTCCCTTACTGCATCTTTCTTCTACCTACCTAGTATCCTGCATTTTCTTTGCTTTTAAAATGGTTTTACCACATATGATAAATCTCTTAATTGATTTTGAGTTTTGTGTAAAATGGAATCATCTATGTACCTTCTTTTGCTTAGCAATTATGTTTTTGGGATTCATTCATGTGAATACACATGTTTCATTCAGTTTCACTGCTTATTGAATTTAATTTTTGGACTTTTACAGAGCATTTTACTGTTGATGGACATTTGGATTGTTTCCAGTCTTTTGTTCTCATGAGTAATGCTGCTTTGAATGTTCTTACTTACATTTCCTGATACACATGTATACGAGATTTTAAGGGACCTTACCTACCAGTGAAATTGTTGGGCCCTTGCAAGGCTAGCTTTGTTAATGTTACCTATGTATTTATGCTTTTGTTCTTCATTTGCATTTCAGATCTTCTTTATGAGATCATTGTTCAAATGCCTTTATGATTAACTTTACTGATAGCCATTGGATGACAAACTCTTAAGTTATTACTTCTTCCAAATTACTTTTATTTTACCCTCATTCATGAAAGATATTTGTCTTTATATAGAATTCTATTTTATCTCAGCACATTGTGGGCATTATTTCACTGTCTGACTATAAATAATTTGGCTTCAGTATTGCTTTTGAAGACACTTGTCCCTCTTACTCTTACCTCTTTTAAAAGTAACCTTTCTCTTTTTTCTGGCTGCTTTTAAAATAATCTTTTTTTTGTTGCTGCAAAATTCCACTGTGATATCTCTTTGTCTAGATTTCTTTTTAATAATCCTGTTTGGAATGTATCAGGCTTCTTGAATATTTAGATAAGTATCTTTTTTTAGTTTTCGAAAGTTTGACAAAGAATTGCTGGGAATATTGCCCTTGCCTCATTCCTTTTACTCCTTCTTGAGGTCCAGTCCAAGTTTTCCAAATTTTGTCACTTCCTGTCTTCCATGTCTTTTCATCTTTTTTTCCTTGTGTACCACCTCTTTACTCTCTGCTGTGGTTTGAGTAATTTCCTTTGACTTGTCTTCCAGTTCCTTAACTCACCTTTTGTTTATCTAATTTGCTGTTAAGTCTGTCTATTGCGTTTTAAAATTTCCTTTTGTTTTTTATTTTTTGAGAGAAAGAGAGTGTACATGCCATGGAGGGGGAGGGGCAGAGTGTGAGGAGGAGAGGAAATCCTAAGCAGGCTTCCCTCCCAGTGCAGAGCCCAATGCAGGGCTCAATCTCACAACCCAGAGATCATGACCTCAGCCTAAATGAAGAATCAGATGCTCAACCGACTGAGCCACCCAGGTGCCCCAAGTTTTTTTATTTCTAATAATACATTCTTACCTATTAGAAATTCTGTTTGGTTCATTTTCTTCCTTCCTTCCTTTTTTTTTTTTTTTTTAAAGTTACTCTTCTACCCTTGTGAGTCACATGCTTCACTGGCTGACCCAGCTGGGTACCCCTGCTTGGTTCATTTTCAGATCATTTTGTTCTACTCATGGTGTTTTGTTTCCTTATGTGTTGTAGATATATGACTGAGTGAGTGTGATCTGCTTATTTTTTCTCACAAGTGTATCTTGGAAAATGTTTGAGGTCGAGGATAATAAAGTTGGTTTCTCCAAAGGAGATTGCATTTGCTTCTGTCAGCTGCCTAAGGGCCTTTCCAGTCCTTGGCTCTTAAAATAAACTCTGGGCTTGAGGTTTTTCAGAACACCCAAGTAGTATTTTAAGTTGTAATTACCCATGTGAGGGCTGGCTTGTGGCTTTCAGTTCTCAGGGGAGATGTCTTTCTTCCCTCTCTTCAGTGCCATGGCTCAACACGGCATTTTCTTTCCCACTTTAAATAGTCCCTGTGGAATATGGAAACTCATTTCTAGTTTACCCTCATGTTGAGAGTTGTAGCTTTTTGAGGTTCCAGCTTTCCCAGGGTCTTCAAACTCCCCATCTTAGGTAGGTCGGCATTGTTTGTCTTCTGTTCCCAGGGGCCTTCAAGGCTACAAAAGTTGATAATTGAATTTACCCAGTTTGGTAAACACTTTTCAAGGTGAAAATCAGCTTTAGCCAGCTCAATTGACCTTTCTATGTTCCTGTCTTCATATAACTTTTATTCTGAATATACCTTGATTTCTTGTCAACTTATGAATGCATTTGAGAGAATATTTTAAAATACTCTTCCTGTAATTTTTGTTGTTTTCAGTGGGAAGCTTAGCATAACCTCTGAGTCTACAGTGTTGCTGGAAGCAGAAGAGTCTCAATTTTTTGAATTTTATTTTTATTTATTTATCTTTTAAAAGATTTTATTCATTTATTTGTCAGAGAGAGAGAGAGAGAGAGAGTATAAGTGGAGGGAGGTGGTGGGAAGCAGGCAGAGGCAGAGGGAGAAGTAGGCTCCCTGCTGGTCAGGGAGCCTGATGTGGGACTTGATCCCAGGACCCTGAGATCATGATCTGAGCTGAAGGCAGAGGCTTAACTGACTGAGCCACCCAGGTGCTCCTGTTTTTTTTCTTATTTTTATACTCTCATTTAGACTTTTTTGTTCTTGGGAGGAGTGATCATGACTGGGATCTCTTGTGCGGTGTCAGTGTTGAGGGGACACTCAGTGATACAGGTAGATGTGCAGCCAGAAACACTTTGGAGGGGTTTCATTTTACATGTTTCATATCAAATTATGTTTTTTAGTCTTTCTAGTTATTTGGTGAGGTTGGTATATTATTATAACCTCTATTTTACAGAACAAACTAAGACTTAGGGGAAGAATCTGGACCCAAATCTAGTAATTAGTTGGGCTGAGATTTAGATTCATGACTTTTGACTTGGTTCTGTGTCCTTTCCACTACGGCATTTTGCTTTTTAATTAACATTGTGGACATTTGACATCCCTTGATTATTGTATCTAGATATGAAAATTCTGGGGAAACCACTGGATTAATAATATCCAGATGAAATTGTCTCTAAATTCTCACCTGAAAGAAATTGTTAGCTGAGTGTTCACTTTGCTTAATTTTTTTATATCAGTGACTTAAAACAATATATTGACTTCTGTTAACAGCAAGCAGAAAAGAAGAAAGTGAGAAATACAGCACTGTGAAATACTTTTGTTGTAAATATAAGTAATTTTTGTCTTTTCCAACAGGTGTGTGTGTAATATAGATTGCAGTGGCTACAGTTTTAATCCTGTGTGTGCTTCTGATGGGAGTTCCTACAACAATCCTTGTTTTGTTCGAGAAGCATCTTGTATAAAGCAAGAACAAATTGATATAAGGCATCTTGGTCATTGCACAGGTAAAATCCATTCTACTCATCCAGAGACCTGTCTTTAATATTCTATGTCTGAAATCTTATTTGTCATTTAGGTAGTGTTCCATATTTGTAAAATGAGAAGTCTTTGATGTTCTATTTGTTTCTTCTATTACTTTGTATTTTAGAATTTCTTTGTTGTTACTAATTCAGATTTTTTTTTCATTTATTTTCATCATCTCAAGACTCAAACGATGCTTTTCTGTTGATCATGTAGTTACTAAGCCTTTCCTAACAGACTTGTAGATACATTCATAGTTCTTAAAGGTTGTCTCAAATTTATAGTAATGATTATAGCTATTTAATAGTCAACTTATTTTAATTATAGTAAAACTACAAGCATTACCATATATTCATATTTTTTTTCTAGAGCATAAAAGTTCACTTTGTTTTCACGTTCTCTCTGTAGTTTTTGCCCCTACATATTTTGTACTGTTAGAGATTTTGGTGTGAGGTTATAGAATGTAAGGAAAAATTATTACTTTCAGTTTAAAATTCTTTCTTACCAAGAAAATTCTTTTCTTGCTTTTTGTCATAGTTTAGAGCCACGATACCAGCTAAGAATTTGTTTTTGTTTTCCATTTCAACTAGAAATATCCAATCACTAAGGGCAGAACTTCTCAAGTTCCTTAGTAATACACGTATGGGCTAGGATAATGTGTTATTTCCTAGTAACTTACAACATACAAGAGCGGACACATTGTCATGGACTTGTGGGTCTTTCCTGCTTACAAGGCCCAACCCTCCTGCCTTTTTTGGACTTACTAAGGGTATATGTTTTTATCTAAGCTGAGGGGAAAATGTTGTAAGCCAGAGTTTGGTACTTTATACTGGTAAGAAATTATTTGTGAAATACAACACTAGGGATTGCAGTATCTCTGCTTTAAGCTACCAGAGAATGCTCAAGAAGCTCATCAGAGGATTTCCAGGTGCAGATCAGATATGGGTGGGAGAACACACCATTTGCTGATAGAGACCCCTTATAGGTAGACACTCCACCTAGCCTTGATCTTAAAGAAGTGTATAGTTTGTTTTTCTTTCATAGAGTGGCATTTAAAGCCCAAGTTGAAACAGTAGCTTAGAGAAATAATGCGTTCTATGAAGAACTGGTTCATGATTGAATGGTTCTACCTACAAATTCAAACTTCAAGTAGGTCAACCTTGAGAATTTTACTAATTGAAATTGATGCCTATTTAGAATCCTTTGGAGTAGTTGGTCCTTAACTTTTTTTTAAAAAAAGATTTTATTTACTTATTTGACAGACAGAGATCACAAGTAGGCAGAGAGGCAGGCAGAAAGGGAAGCAGGCCCCCCGCTGAGCAGAGAGCCTGATGTGGGACTCGATTCCAGGACCCCTGAAATCATGACCTGAGCTGAAGGCAGAAGCTTAATCCACTGAGCCACCCAGGCGCCCCGGTCCTTAACTTTTATCTTGGTCCTTTTGGTAATACTTCCATTCATACCTAATCACACCTTCCCTTTCCTTTCTCACTATGTAGTGGGACGCTGAAGCTTGTGCTTCCAACATGCATTTTTGACATCATTTTTTTTTTTTTTAAGATTTTATTTATTTGACAGAGAACACAAGTAGGCAGAGAGGCAAGCAGAGAGAGAGAGAGAGGAAGGGAAGCAGACTCCCTCCTGAGCAAAGAGTCCATGTGGGGGCTTGATCCCGGAATCCCGGGATCATGACCCAAGCCAAAGGCAGACGCTTTAACCCACTGAGCCACCCACGTGCCCCCAACATGCATTTTTGGTTCAGTTACAGTGTTCCCAGTCCAAATACAGTTCACCAGTCTGGGGTCATTTCTATCTAAGTTTTGTCTGATAACAAAGCTGAGATTCCACCTTTATCTTTTTTTTTTTTTTTAAATATTTTATTTATTTATTTGACAGACAGAGATCACAAGTAGGCAGAGAAGCAGGCAGAGAGAGAGGAGGAAGCAAGCTCCCCACTGAGCAGAGAGCCCGATGTGGGGCTCTGTCCCAGGACCCTGGGATCATGACCCGAGCCGAAAGCAGAGGGTTTAACCCACTGAGCCACCCAGGTGCCCCCCACCTTTATCTTAATCTGATATGTTTTCAGAGAAACAGTGGTAGGAGAGGTAAATCTTGAGATCATTGTCACTTGGAGAGAGGGCTAATCCTTTGCCTTTAGGGTCTGTGTTATTTTAGCTTGCACAGGGAAGACTTTTTAAGGAGATGACATTTGAGCTGAAATCTAAATGAAGTTAGGTTGTTCATCTTGCAGAACATGTATATATTTGGGGTGCCTTGAGGCCCGAGATAGAAATGGCACAATAGATGAAGAGAATGCTGGGAAGTGTGAGCAAGATAAGTGGACAGAGTTGGGAAGGACTGGAGCATTTGGAATATTTGGGAGCTTCATGGTATGACTTAAACATCCTATGTGTCTTAATCTGAAAACTTTTCTTTTATAGACACAGATGACACTAGTTTGTTGGGAAAAAAAGATGATGGACTACCGTATCGACCAGATGTGAAAGGTACTGAATCGTGATTTTCCAGATTTCGGCCAACTATTGAAATACGGTCACTAGCTGTCCTTTGTAGTTCTATTTCCATTATAATGATCATTCCAACTTTGCTCTCTGTAGCAATACATTATGGAATATATTATTAATAATATTAAAAAGCTAAGCTGCTTATTCTCAATTTACAGAGTCCTCTCATATATACTTTAATTAAAATTTTTATTGAAATATTGCAGATTCACATGTAGTTGTAAGAAATTACGCTGAAAGATCCCTCATCTTTGCTTTTTAAATCCTCTTTACTTCTTTAGAATATACTATTAATGCTTGCCCTCTGTGTACAGGTCTTTGATCCTTATTCCCTCTGTCTGGACCTTTTCTCTAACTAATATAAATCCTTTCAGTCTTAGCTTTTCCCTTAGTCATTTCCCTTTGGGAAGTAATCCTTGACCCCAAGTCTAGATTAGGTGCATATCTATATACTCTCCTATGCAAACACTTAACCTACTTTAATTATAATTGTCTTTTTTACTCATCTGTAACCCCCTTTAGGCTCTCAGTTTTGTGAGGACAGGAGACTGTGTCTGCATCTGTCATGTTCACTTTTGTATTCCTAACTCTTGGCAGAATGTTTGGCACATACTTAGGTGCTCCATACTTGTCAAAAGAATGGATGAAACTCAAAGAAACTGTAGGATTTATTGGTACAGAGTCTTATATGTAGTAAAAGAGCAGCAGGGATTGGATTCCATTTATCTTGACATTAACTCCAGGGCTCTTTGATTTAATATGATTCTTAAACTACTCTGAGGCCTAAGGACCAAGGGGAACATTGAGGCTTTATGAGGCTCTCTCTAGTGAACTGAAGCAGGTCTAGATCATGGGACTCCTAGTTTGAGACTTAAATATAACTGCTCTTTCACACGTGCATCTTCTACCCATTTGTTAGGTTATACTAATGGAGAATTGTTTTTAGATGTGTGATCTACCTTTTATGCCTAATTTCTAAAAAATATGTAAAATGAGAATAATAATAGTACCTATCTCATAGTTTTATAAAAAGTAAATAATATAGGGGCTCCTAGGAGCTCAGTCAGTTAAATGTCCAACTCTTGGTTTAGCCTCAGGTCATGATTTTATGGGTGGTGAGATCAAGCACCAAGTTGGGCCCCGTGCTCATTGGGGAGTCTGCTTGAAGATTTTCTCACTCTCCCTCTCCCCCTGCCCCTCCTTGCATGTTTATTCTCTCTCTCTCTCTCTCAAATAAATAATTAATCTTTAAAAAATTAAATAATACATGTCAAGCACTTAGAACAGTATTGGACATACACTTAAGTACTTAATAAATAATAACTGTTATTATCATTGAAGAATTTGTTATTTTCTTCACTGGAATCCTATCATACCTGAATCATTTATATCCCATGAGCTCCTGAAGTATCTGTTTCCTATGTTGATACAAGTGCTATTTTTAAAATAGAAAATCTCCTGTATTCCCATAGGAGACATAAAACATCAGCTGTAGTTTTATTCTCTGTACTGTTAGTACATGACCAGAATATGAAGGCTATTTTTCAGTAGGTAGGAACTCATATTTAAGGTAATTTGGGGAATTGTGTATGCCCTAAATACTTGTCTGCCTTTGATAAAACTAGAGCGATAATTTAGTGCCTAGGCCACTTTTGGGATACTGAAAATTCTTTATACATAAGAATTGACCTATAACTCAAATGAAATTATCATAATCAGTAGATCTAATTTATTATGTGCCTACTTTATAGTCGTCGTTTCGTCAGACCCTGTTAGTGGGTAGAAAGATATCAAATACATGACATCCATCTTTAAGGAGCCTTTCGTTTAGTAAAAAATGAATATAACCCTCTAACAAAGTAAAAATTTGTTATTGTTATAAATGTGGTTAAAAGTGCAAGGGGAATTCAGAAAAGGAGATTACTACTTGGTGGAAAATTGTGAGGATAAGAAGAACTAACGGAAGAGGTGTCTTAAAAGTTATGTTGTCCTAGGAAATTTAAACTTTATTTGTAGGCAGTGGACAATCACTAATAGCTTTGAAAAAGATAAGGCTGCAAAGTTAACCAGTTGAATGAATGGTACCTGTCAGGAAGATGGTGCTTATTATTATATATATTGGACTGGAGATGGGAGATCTGTTAGGTAGATTCAAAGGGAATAGACTTTGGCTTAGATTAGAGGGATAGAGAGTTCAGATGACTTAGATGATGGTTTCTATTTATAAAACTAAGGATGTTGGGAGGGGAGATGTGTTTGAGGTAAGGTAAGGGAGAAGTTGATGGTGGAGGTGAGTAATTTTCGAGTTTGAGTTGCTTGTGGAACTCTGTGGATGGCTTCATTTAGCATAAATTTGCAATCTTTGGAGATTGAGGTGATAGATAAGTGAAGTCCTGAGGATGAGTAAGATAATAGAGCTTCATTGTTTAGACTTTTGCACTCTTGAGATAGGGCTAGGATGACTGAGAAACCAAACCTTTAGTTTCATTTCAATTAACTTAAATTTAAATAGCCACATGTGGCCAGTGGCTACTGTATTGGAAAACACAGACATAGAACATATCAAGAGTGGCAGAAAGTTCTGTTAGACGGTACAGTTACTACAAAGGGGAGGAGGCTTAGGATGAAGCAGAAACAGGTTCCAGAGAAAACCTAGAAGGCTGCAGTGGTACAGAAGCCAATATGGAGAGGTCACATAAAAGTATCAGAGGACAAGCATTGACTCTGAAGACAAGGGAATCATTGGTTATCTCGGAAGAAGGAGTTTCTCTAGAGTTATAAATATGAAATCCAGATTGTGAAAGAGTTGAGAAATGTTGTAGTAGTGGGTAGTAGAGGTCAAAATGTAACTATTTTGTGTCCCCCCCCCATTTGCTTCTATTTTTTGTCCTCACAATCAGTTGTAGGAGGCCTTTAGTACATTTTTGTGTCCCTAGTACACAACCAAGACTAGGTAGGCAGGCAGGCATCTAGGGATGGAGGCTGCAAAGTGAAAAGCAGCAACACAGCCCCAGCACAAAGCTGGACAAATTGGAAGATAGTGCTTAGTATGGAAGATTTTTTAAAGTTGAGCTCGGAGAATAGTGCTCATTAAATGGAACATTTGACTGTCCACCATGGTGGCTGAATTGGTGCTTTTTTGGGCTATTGGGAAATCTCTGGTAAATACTGAAATTGCAGTGTTGGAAGCTGTGTTGTAGATGTTGAAGCCATGCAGGGTATGATGGTTGAACATGAGGGATGTGGGAGATGGGTATGTGACATTTTAAAAACTTGATTGTAGAAAATTTCACACATATATAAACAGAATAGTATAATGAACCCTAAGTTACCCAATACATACCTTCAGCAGTTTCCAGCATTCTGTCATTCTTATTTTGTCTATATACCACTACCCACTTTATTATTATTATTCTTATTTTACAGGTTTTTTTTTTTTTTTGGAGGTCTAATTTCCATTCAGGAAGCTACATGAATGTTAAGGTATCATTTTTGAAAAATGAATACACCCCATGAATTTTATTGGAGTCTCTAACATTCCTATCTGCCCAGGAAGTTCCTTTGTTGCATGTGACATTTCGACATGACCACTTTTATCCAAAGGATATTTTCCTACAGCCTAACATCTAACCATAATACCTTTTTTACTTCCAAGACTCTCTTGCTTCATTCCTGAGGTTCACTTCACCCCCAGCCCTCATCCCATCTTTGGCCTCATCTTCTCAATAGTCTCTGTCCTCCTGCTGACCAGGGATACCAGAGATACTGAGGTATTGGTATTATTTTTCCCATTTCTTGGTGACTCCCGTTTGCACATCTTAATACAGCTCTTTTGATGTGCCCTTTTAAAAATCGTCTTGATAAAGTCCCCTCATTGAATGGTAAAACTGAGCCAGTTGCTAAAATCTTGTGGGAAATCTGAGAGTGTGTGCTGCAGAGAGTCATGGGGAGGACTTTTAGCAGGCCACCTGGGTGGATGGTGCAGACCCCTAAGAGATGAAGGTCGTTGGGAGAGGACAGTGGAATATGATCTGGAGGTGACAGGGGAAAGTGGAAGGAAAAGGGATGTAGGAAGTAATGTGATCTTGGTTTATCAGGGAAACGAAAGGAGTACTTCCTAAGGGGATGGTTGAGGAGGTGGATGAGTTTATTCACATCAGAAAATGTGTTTCACTGGGCTGTGTTGGAAAGACTAGGAAAGGAGAAGTTAGGGTTTGTATGGAAAATAGGGGGATTTAGGAATGAGTTGGGAGGTTTTGGAGGGTAGGTAGGCTTTTATGCCTACCTTTATACTTTTGATGGGGTCTGAGGAGACTGGGGTTAGGGAACGATGTATGGAGGGATATGTTCGTCACGAGGCTTGGGGTGCAGGGTAGTATAGGGGAAACAAGAAAGAATATATTAAATGTTTTAACTGTAGGGATCTGTAGAAATGAGCCTGAGAGTTCCTGGTACAGTGTTGATGTGGCTGTTGTGGCCTCAGCAAATGACCTAGCAGGTGCGTGTCTTGGTTGTTAATAGCAACTCCTTGTGCTTTATTTTGGTTGTGCATTGATGGACCAGGACAGCCCTCCAGTGGGACATGCCTTTGCAGATAGGCCATCTGGTGCTGGATTTTCTTATAACATCATTGCTTAGAACCATACTCTCCTTTGTATTTGAAAACACTGCCGCTGGTGGTAGGTTTGTTTCTGAATGCCTCTGTGGGTGGAAGGAACCACTGGGTGACCGAGTGTTCTCTTTATATCTCACACACACAGACATTGTTCAGAGACGAGCACTTGCAGATGTTCATGGAGCCTGTCACCACTTGCCTGAGGGCATTGTTTGGAGAAGACCATTCTGTGTCCAGTTCTTGCTGTGCGAGACTACATCGCTGCTGTGGTTTCTGAAACTGTGCTTCCTGATGTCTTAAAGCCTTTTTCCTTTTCCTTTTTGAAGTTAACCTAATTTACGTGGTCCAGAGAGCAGGTGCTTGGACG